AACCTTCACTGACGACCACATTGCTGTAACAATCTCCTGAGAACCGCAATACAGCCATGTCATGGCCAATTGGCCCAGTTTTAATGCAGTCATTAAAACTTGATATGCGAACTACTTTAGGAGCATAGGATTTATGTCAGTTTTATCACACTCGATTGTTAAAAATGAAAACATAAAACCTCCTCCAGGTCAGAAAGTTTTAACAGCCTTCTATTGACTACCATAAAACTATATTACAACCGCATAAATCGCTCCTGAAGAAGTTGATAAAACATGATACGCAAAACATTTTGACAACTTTGAAGGTTTTAAGTTGGGGTTTTTGGATGATAGTTAATATTGAGAAATATTTTATTGTGGTTTTATTCTTTCGATGTTTGATGTGAAATCATGATCCTTGTCAGTTGGTAATAATGGCTGATATTATTGTACATTGAAAATAAGACGACTTTATTATAATTTTAAACCAATCTGTATATGCTTCACAGCATGCCGTGCAATATTTATGGTGATTATTATACCAAATAGAAGCATAAATTTAGTGCGCCATATGAATACTAAAATATAGGGATATTTTTAATTTGTCTGCATTAGCACCATGCATTAAAGAGTCATTCAAAGATTATCTATTTAGTACAAAACTGTTACTACTGTTGAGCAATAACCAGTCACATATTATTTAATTATACATAGATGTATGAAAGTGTTTTATTGCCTATCAATTAAAGCGTAATTATTCATACTGTGTGAAATTTGTTCATACGGCGACATTTTTTTTTCGTTATAACTTGCTACTCCTTAAAAATACCTCAATATAACATATTCTCCTAGATTGGAATTCTATAGCATAACATAAACCTAATGGTTGTATCTTAGCATTTCGTAGTCCAAATTGAGAGCGTTAAGTTATGTTTAAGCTATATAACTAGCTTGCTGGTTTTATTCGGTACAGCGAATCAAAACAAAACAAAAACCATGACCACCTGTCAAAAAGTCAACATTCCAAGCGATCCTCCTATTTTCGCTTGTAATCAAGATGTAAGAAATGCTTATTGGATCCACTAAAAGCTTTTTCAATACAAGGTTTAAAGCCGTGATGTCAATACTGGCCATCTCCAAACGGATTTAGTGAAACTGTCGGCGTTGCTTTAAGAAGGGTTCGTGGATCTTTCGGAAGTGTATCGGAAAGCCGCTTGTTCAATATTTTCAAGAGCTCCTTCACCGCACTGTGCCTTATGTAGGGATCGTATAACTGTAGTTCCTCCAGGAGTTTCATATTGTCGATCGTCTCATCTTCATCGTGTTCAGAAGCACTGAAGGGGTTTTCATTTCATATATCTGAATAGATTTGTTTTTTATAATGACAAAAAATTTCAGAGTATTTTTTGTTGTAGCAGTATATTTCTTATCTGTGAATCTTAGGCCTCTGATAAAGATGATAGTTGTAATGAATCTTTAATGAAGGTCTAAGACTGCTTCAAGTTTTATATCGGTCATAAAAAATGTACCATAAAACATAATTGTATGTTTTGTTTTGGTTTTATTCTTCAGTTATAAGTAACGATGCAGAACCACCTTACAGCTACCGTTAAAACTATGAAGTCTGAGTTTTAATTTAGTAGTCATAAAACAGTTTTATAGACGACTTGACGGCCTGATTTTATGACAAGCACACAAAACCGTAATACAACCACAGGCTGGAAGGGATGCTATGATAAAACAATGATAAAATAAGAATAAATCTTCCAAGCATTTAGATTGTTACTTGGGTATTACTCAGTTTGACATTTCTCGCTTGCTCAAATTTTGACAACCTAATGCATCAGACGAAATTGAGTACGATCGACTCACCCGGTGAGTAAGCTGAAGTAAGCGTGTAGATTACGTGCATGCAAAGAAAACCAAGGCATTGTATGCACAGGTGAAACGGGAACCTTATTTGTACCAGAGAGAATAGGTAGAGAGGCGAAGAGTGTGAAGCAAAAAAAAACCTTATCGAACCGTCAAACTGGTATCCTATCGAACAAAATAAACAAAAGTTGATGTTCCCCAATTTGGTGAAGGCAAGTATTGTAATCGCTGCGAATATATTTGGAAGAAAACTTTTTAGGATGAGAAAAATACATGAACAAATAAAAAGTAATGCTTGAATTTAAAATGTAGTAATATTCAGGATATTTATTTCTATATTCTTTTAGTATAAAGATCATTTTTTTGTAAAATTTGCAAAAGCATACACACTTAGAAAATAGTACCGAACTCGGTTCAATTTCAACCGAGTTTTTATCTGCTGAACGCTCGGTAGTCTGTTCGGTTCAAAAAGAAACAACCGAGTGTTCGTTAAAGTTTCTTTTCCCACAACCTGTCAAACTAACCGAAAAAACTCGGTTGACAAAAAGTCAATTCAAGCAGGAATAACTTCTGCCTGTTTTCCTCATTTTTCGGAAATCGAAATAAAGTTATGTTTTTGTATCCACTCACATACTGGTTTTTACAAAAACTCGCAACGCACTTCATTATCAGCAATCATTAAATTTTAATAATAATAACAACACAAATAGATGGTTGAAAAAAGTCACTTGAAGTGTGCCCTTCAGAAACAGTTGCCAGAACTTGTAGGATGGAATCATAATAAAAAGAGTGCTGCCGTTTCCACGGTTTTTCACTCTTCGCCTCTCTACCTATTCTCTCTGATTTGTACGATGGTGGAAACATTATCACGCATACGGTAGGTCGATAAGTTGACAACGGCTTTCGTAACTACTTAACCGAAACAGATCATTCCAAGGCAATGAAGGCAATCTACGTAGTGCAAAACGAAGAAAGCGACGTTGAACTGATTCGATTCTCTCGACACCGTTGTTATAGTTTATTTGATTTTCCCGTGGAAGTTTTCCAGAAATTTCTTCCACCTTATCCCGTAAATTATTTTCCGATTACTCCCGAAAGTTCTTCCGTCTCCTCCCAGTCAGTTTTGTTTAGCTTCCCCGGAATATTGTGCTAACTTTCCATAGTAGATTCTCCCGATTTCCACCGGATATTTCTTTCGATATCTCCCAGAAATCTTTTCTCTCAACTTCTTTCGACTGTCCCGTAAACTCTCTGGCTTTCACCGTAAGAAGCTTCAGATTTTCTCCAGAAGATTCTTTCAAATTACCTTTGGAAGTTTCTTCCAGCGTCTACACAAAGTTTATGCCGTCTTCTCCCGGAAGTTGGTTTAAACTTCTATTGTAAGTATCTATAGAATTCTCACAGAAGTTTCTTTCGTCTTCCTCTGAAAGTTTCTCCGGACGTTTTTTTCCGACTTCTATTGGAAGGTTTTTTCAAGCCTCTTGTAGCATCCTCTGAAATTACTATTTTCGTCCTGTTTTCTAAACCTTTCCGTTTTATTTTTTTCCGAAACTTTCTTTATTTTTTTTCCTAGAAGCTTCTCAAATGTTTCTAGGAAGTTAACCGGATGTTTTCCCGACTTTTATTCGAACTTTTTTCAAACTTCCGCCACAAGAGCTTCTTTCAACTTTCTCTGGAAGTTTTTTTTTGGCTTTCGTCAGAAGCTAATCCAAACATTCCCCGGAAATTTCTTCCGACTTCTTCTGGAAAATAAAGTTTCCGTTCTTAGTCCTAAATTTTAGCCTTAAAAATGGCAATAATTAAAACAGCAAATACCGATTTGTTAAAAACTTTGATACCGATTAGCTTGAAAACAACGCTGAGTGCCGGTATAATGTATGTGCAGTGTTGCTGTTAGCAACCAGTGGCTCCATAGTGGTGACTTCAGGAGGCTAAAATAGGCGGGAAAGAGCTAAGACTACAGTTGAACAACTGAAGTTTGGTCCAAGTGGCGAATTTTCCAATTAAATAATAATAATAGTCATTGCTGTAAATTTTCATATCATTCGATTGAAGATGAACCACTACAACCATTCAATCAATTCTGTGTAAACGAATTCTCACATGACCATAATTTGAAGAGCCCCTTTCTCATTCGAAGCTCATTGTCACTGTCAATTGAGTCACTCAGTATCATTTGATATACGACAGTGGAGTATGGAAGAAATCCAGGAAAATGGTCCCGAACAGACAAGTCGACCCGATGTCGGATCAATGTAAGGCTAATTTAAGGTCGATGTCGACCCAATGTCGTGTTAATGTCGGGTCAATTTTGGGTTTATGTCAGGTCAATGTCGGGTCAACATCGGGTTGGGGTTTGATAGAAGTCAGGTTGGTGTCGGGTAGGCTTAGCTTTTTCGCCGGAATGTCGACCAGAGCTCCGTTTGTGTGTAGGTTACACTCAATCGAATGATATATAGCATTTCTCAAATGAGAATGATCCATGCCTTCGTCAAATGACTAAGCAACTGATATCACCCATTCGGAGGAGGTCCCCTTTGATAGCGAATAGCTACTTTTCTCATTTTCATCAAAAATGTTCAAATGATTTTGAGAATTTACAGCACTGATAATAGTAATAGAGGGGAAATTACTCTAATGCTGGCCTATGGATCTAAGATTGGGTCCATCGCTACAAAATCAGCTATTTATCAATTTTATCTAGCTGAACGCGTCATTGGGACGTTACTAATATCCATCCATAATTTTTGGTCGCTATTGAAAATTTAGTCGATAATTGAATTTATCTTCTTCATATTCACATTTCAAGCTTATTGCTTAGGGCATATTAGCTTATTGCGTGCTCTCAACTTAGTGTTCTAAATGCACTTCCACAGTTATTAATTGAGAGCTTAATTGAATTTATGCATGGGCCCAAATTAGGGGCATTTAGGCCGACATTACATCCATTTCTTCTATAAAAAAAATACTCCAGTATTATAAATCAAACTGCCTTAATTCTGCAAACATATTGGACTTTATCAGAAAAAAAAAAAATCAAAAATCATAATGAAGGTTCATCGAAATGCAGTATGGTAATGGTATTGTAACTGTGGGTTAATGATACATGGCTTTCGGGGTAGGTAGCAAGTAAGAAACGAAACATAGCATTACAGATTTTGATGTTTTCAATATTCTACACATTTTTTTTTTATTAACATCCTTCGCGCTACTATAGCGTGTTATATTCTTTATCTGTGGTTATCGTTCTTCTCGATAAGGAATGAAATAAAATTATAAGTAAATGATAATTTCAGTTTTTAGTTTGAAAAGTCTTCTCACAATCACTACTAAACTAAACGTGCAACAACTCGCCCATTGTCTGTCTAAGGTTTCAAATTGTAATTTGATCATATCTTAGCATTCTTAAAATCAGTTACAATTTACTTTTTCTGCTCTTCCTTTTCCTGGTTTGGAAGGATAGCTTCGAGTTCCGTAAATTGTAGTGATTTCACCTGACCACATTGCGTCTCGCTCTCTCACGTCACATAGAATGTGCTTAACTTAAGCATTAATGTAAACACATAATAACACAAATAAATTAGAACAGTAATGTACCCATTCCTCCCATTTCGCTCTGCTCTTTGACGAAGATCTCAAAGTACTGATAGATGATGGTCACGGCCAGCAAGATACCGGTTCCGGAACCGATCGCACCCATGAAATCGGCTATCACCGACAGGGCACCGATGCACAGACCACCAAAGGCGGCTGCCGTTGGGATGTATCGGTTCAGCTCATGGATCATGGAGTTTTCACGATGTCCACGCATGATCATCTGCTGTTCTCTGAGCTGCTTGGCAACATCTTTAGCGGAGCTACCGGACACATCAATCCAGGTCTTGGAGAAGAAAGCGCATGAGCCCAACATGAATACGATGTACAGGACGGCGTGGATTGGGTCTGCAACGATGTGTCCGAGCGATTCCGGAGGGGAAAGGTAGTAGCAGAGACCGCCAATTGGGTAAGAACGAGCTGGACCACCACCGCCAACATCAGCCCACACACCAAGCATGTTGATCAGGAAATTGCCATGGAATTTGACGGCCAGCATTTGTGAGATGACGTACAGATTGGATACGAGAGCGGATTGTAGAATGATTGGAATGTTCGAGGTATAGAACAGTTTAATTGGGTAGCTGCTGTACTGACCACGGTAACGGGCTGATTTGATTGGGAGATCGACTCGGAAGCCCTGGAAGTATATCACCACTGCAAACACAAGAACCGTGGCCAACAGGTTCATCAGATTTGGCAGGTTCTGGCGGTAGAAAGCTTCACGTAGACCCCGGACCTTATCCTGACGTGTGGCTAGCAGGTGGAATAGAGCAATGACAGCACCTTCGAATTCGGTTCCACGGCCAGTGTTAACAGTGGCTGGAGAGAAGGCCTTCCACACGATCGTTTCGCAAATGTTGGTGGCAATAAATAGTGAAATTCCTGATCCCAGACCGTATCCCTTCTGCAACAGTTCATCCAGCAGTAGAACTATCAAACCGGCTACGAACAACTGAATGATGATCAACAGACAGACTCCGGCTCCGATCTCCGACGGATCACCGTACATTCCAGTCATGACGTAGACGATCGCCTGTCCAATCGTGATTACCATTCCGAACAGTTTCTGCGCTCCGTTGAACAAGGCTCGGTCTTTCGGGGTGTCACCAACTTCGATAATCTTTGCACCGGCCAGCAGTTGCATGATCAATCCGGACGTGACAATTGGTGAAATACCCAGTTCCATCAGCGTTCCTCGGTTCGAAGCCAGGATAACACGAATCCAGTAGAAGGGATCGGCCGAATCGGAGCTCATGATTCCGAAAAGCGGAATCTGACAGCACACCAGAAAGATGAATAACGTGATGGCCGTCCATAGTACCTTCTCGCGGAACTGGATCTTTCGTTCAGGTTTCGCAATCTCTGGCAGAATACTGCAGAAGGGTTTAATTACCTCTAAGAATTTAACTGGAAAAAAGAGACGGAGAGAAATAGTAGCATAAGATGTATTGAAGTGATAATAAGTTTAATAAGTAACATATTAGGAACTTTGATGAGGTCAGTGGATCTTTGGGAATATTTTTGTTTAATTATTATTGTCACTTTATTAACACAATAGAAAATTTATCTTATGCTTACATAGTAGACATCAATGTATAGCTTAAAATGAAAATTAATTGATGCTTGGATGAAACTAGTATTAGGTCGAAAAATATTGTCTTTAGTCAATTAATTTGTGGAAAACATCTAAAATAGCTTTTACTATACTGTCTCATTAAAATACGATATTTGATTGGACATGGGAACAAATGTTATTTATATCTCTAAGTTTCGTGCATTTGCGATTTTGGTAACACGTTGGACTGACCCTGAACTAAAAAAAAACATTCAAAATATAACTCCAAGCTAAATATTCATATTAGTAAACGAGTAAATATAATCACAGAAAAGTAAAAAAAAAACACAATAGAATGGTCGGTACACAGCAAAAAATAAAATATAATATCGATCAACGTAATTCAAGCTGATGACTGTATGACATATTGAGTAATAACAAAAAGCTGATACAATATTGCATCCATCTATGTGAATTATGTGTACAACGTAATATTACATAACCAGTGCAATTGACCTATGTGCAACTGTTGGGATGTAATATTCAACAACAATTACTCTCGATTACTTTTTCGAAGGAACATATCTGCTTTTTTAAACAATGCCTTTGATCGTCGATTTGGCGTAACTTTCCCTATCTGATGGTAGTGTTAGCATGCGTGGGTGAGCTACCAGTTACGCCAAATCGACGATCAAATGCTTTGTTTACAAAAGCTGATATGTCCCTTCGAAAAAGTAATGGATCATTTTAGATGGCTGAGTTTTGAACCCACCACAGCTTTCATTTGGCGCTACTGTATACGGACGAACCAATGTAAAATACTGTGGTAGCCACAGTACGGTGCTGTCAAAACCTCAGCATCTTCAATGATCCATTGAGAACTTTTTTTTCTGTGTGTTCACCATCTAATACCAACAGCTTTATTGCCAATCCTCTACAGATAAGCGTATTTTTGCCTGCCAACTTCATCATTGTTAGGCGCCAAAAAAGAATACACATTTCAGGTGCAATACACGTTTCTGCCAAGATAAGCTATTAAGCTAGTAGGATAAAACAATATTTACTAAATTTGTCTCTATCATTTCAAGTATTTTGTTATTATTTTAGCCATGTATCCATAATCCTCATTCGGTGACTATACAGTTAATTTCAGTTCACAATATAGCACACTTTTTTAAAAATAATAATGTGCATTAGAGAACCTACATGTTCTGAAATTTCCAAACAATTTTATATCGCAAGCAAACATTTTCCTGTTTTCCACCACGCACGAAGCATTCAGCTATACGCGAGGCTAACCCGTGGAAAGGGAAAGTTCCAACGCGGAGCTTTTTCTCTGCTACGTGGATATATGTAGGTGAAGAAGGTGTAGGCTACCGCTTTATGATCCGAGAAGATCTTATTCCATAACTCTATCCCATCCGATTTCCTTTTCGATACTTACTTCCCATTTTGATCGCTTATCCACTAGTTTGTTACTATTTAAATCACTAGGTCCGTTCGTAGTCGTGTCTTTTAAATTGGGTTTTCCTTCGGTGAAAAAGTGGTAGGACAATTTTTACGGACTCGTCTCCATTCACACGGGAGCGACGGAGAAAAACGGTCCTCACTCGATGAAAACACTTACACGACAACACCAGCAGACCATCGGTAGACGCCAAGAGAGAGAGCTCCAACTGGTAAGCTAAGGAGTATTCCACGGATAATGACACACTGTGACATACAGAAGTAAATATTACTTAATTTCAAAGAAATAAAATATTCTTACAACTAATCATATAGAAACGGATATTGCATGAAAGGGACATGAAGTTCATTTGAGCGTACTTCCTGGACGATCCCCATGGGTGCTCTCAAAGAGTGGGAGAACTGTCACCGTTCGGCAGCTACGCGTTGTGTGACGTGAAAGTGAAATCATAGCCACTTTGACAAGAGACTTCAGTGGCCGTTCGTGACGTGTCATGATGTTATTTACTGTTTTGTCGTTAAAGTAGGAACACTCGTCGTTCAGCATCACCTTGACGATGGTAATGCAGTACCTTAAATGGCGGCATGCAAGTGTTGTTCATGCAGGAAAAAAGCAGCAGTGAAGAGTCATTGATTTTCCGCATAAATGGGATCCGTTACTTGACCTTACCAAATTGGTTAAAAATTGTTTATAATCCCTGCTAATCTTTAATTGAAATGGTTATGGAATTTTACATGAACGTTTGTTTGATAAAGTTTTAACCTTATGTATTGTGGTTTTTTGGAAGTGGACCACAGACAAACAGACATAACTCTTAGAAGAATCGTCAAGCGTATTTTGCATGCGCACTAGCACCATCTATCATCCACATTCCCAAGCAATGTTTTGCAACCGGAGCATCCCTCGTGCATGCAATTTTTTCACTAGTTGCTTTTCCCTCGTTCTGTCAACGCGTCAGCTGTGTTGAATAAAAACAAAACAGATGGAAGTCAGTAATGTCGGTTCTATGAAATTTTCCGTAGATCTGTAGAATTGATAGAATTCTGCACGGATAGAAATCTCCTTATACCTTTTGGCAAATTTCTATTGCTGATTATTCATAAAATGTATAAGTCGATTAATAAGCAGACACCTTGTAAAAAGTTAATGAAGATCATGTGTCAAATGAAATGTATAAACGGTCACACATACCTTTTAAGCATTCTTATATGATCTATGTGGTTTGTCTTATGGAATGTATAAGGCTGATGTTTTGGCAAAAATGTATAAGTGAAACACATGAATAAAATAATTGATTTTCGTTTCGTGTGCAGAAATACGGATCCGTAGGAAAAATTCTCAGAAGCTTAGTTTTTTTAGGGCTTTGTTTTGTTTGCTTAGTGTGCTTTTTCTTTTGCTGGAAACAATTTTTTAAACGAGGTAATGCATCACTTATTAGTGCCCTTTCTACCACCGCTCATCACTTCAATGTGTACACAGAAGAAAAAAAATGTATCAATCAATGATATTCATGGTGAAGTATTGAACACAATAACTGGTAAAAAATGATAGAATATTACAGCCATCACATGATTAATTGTTCTCGAATTCTGTGTACAATGTACAACGTAATATTAGGAACGGAATGACTAATGTGCAGCAGTTTTGATGTAATATTCAACAATTTTTTTTTCTGTATTCGTCAGATGTGGTATGTGTCTCCAGTGGGATGCCTTGACCACTTATCATTTTCAAGAGCTGACATCTACTAACTAGACGCGAAAAAGAACTGGCATCACTGATAAGTTCGAAATGTTTGCTCAATGCTTCAGTGGTGCAAGCACATTCCCAACTAAAACATTATTTGCGATTAATGTGATTGTGAGTGTTATGTCTATTTGTCTGTGCTATGACCATTCAAAATAGTTGTTTTCTCCATACATTTTCGGAAAGAGAACTTTATTAAAACTTGTTTACTTATGGTTTGAGAACTTTAATGGTAATGGTTATGGTAGTCAGTAAGGTCCATGGATGGTTTTGTAACATCGATCAACTTTATGAGGAATATATCGCGAATTGGTTGCCTGTAAATTAATGATTGACCAATAATACAATGCCATCCATGGACCTTACTGACTACCATAACCATTACAATTAAAGTTCTAAAAGCATAAGTAAAAAAGTTGGTATTTTGTGGCGATACGTTGGCTTTGATGAGGTTGTGATGAGGACTTCTCGGACTTATGGCGACATATTGTTGCAGACTTTGTGCAATACAAAGACCAGCTTTTCACCAGAACCCGTTTGATCATTACCCCCTACGAACAAAGGAGTGGTATGAACAGAGTTTGAGTAAAGTTGTGTCCCATCGGATTGTGGTTTGAAACGGAATGGATGCGTATTGAATGAACTGAATAATGTCCACATAACTAGTACCTACAACTGTGCAGCTAGAATACAACTCGGAATGAATGTGGAATTTATTAATCATTCTTTTGCCTATGAATATATCGATATATAGTGTAATCTAACATCATGCATCACTAAAAACTTTAAAAAGATGATTTTTGGCGTGAAATTGAGAACGTTTACTGATAATTTCATCGCCAATTTGGAGAGATTGGAGATTTTTGGTCGTCTTTTGTTTCGTTGTTTATACTTGAAATATCAATAGGATGCATATCAAATACAAATCAAATCAGAATCAGTACGTTTTGTATATTAAAACAATATAATTCTAAGTTTTTGTACATGGCGTCATAAAGTTCTTTGACTATATGTTTTTTAGTATTACTTCTACGTGAAGTCAACGATTTACATAGTTAAAGATGCTAATTTCAAATAACAGACTGTAGTGGTAATTTTTATACGATAGATGGAGTAGATGAAAGTATAGAGTTGATAGTTCCGTTAGAGTACGGCAGTGTGAAGATTGTATATAGATATTAGACAAGCGAGCTAGGACAACTTTTGGGGACACCCCTCACCATCCCTCTCCAAAGGGGGAGTTTGGTAAAGAGAGATGAAAAAACCGATTTGTACCTTCCTTAAAAGTTGTCCTAGCTCGCTTGTCTAATATCTATATACAATCTCCACACTGCCGTACTCTAACGGAACTATCAACTCTATGCTTTCATCTACTCCATCTATCGTATAAAAATTACCACTACAGTCTGTTATTTGAAATTAGCATCTTCAACTAAGTCATAAAGTTAAAAATTGGAAATACGCCATGTAAAAGGAACCGTTTTTGATGATTGGAAAATATGTTTTCTTCTACTTTTTTTGTGTTTATTGAGAGTTTGTGAACTGTTCTGGCAAAATATGATTTGTTTACATTTTTGTTTTTTCGCCCCTTTTAAATGTTAGTCTAGATAGGGTAAATTATGGCTTCGGCACCCATTGACTGTTTTCGGCAACCGAAATTGAAACGTTAATTTCACTGTATTTTCCCATCAAAACTCTTCGCTGAATGTATTAAGCCGATTCCTTACCTTTTCAACTTCAATCTGATTACATTTTTACGACTGTGCAATCCTGTTATGCCATATTTTTCTTTAAATTAAATATACACACTACAAAATACGGCTGATTTTGAGTTGCCGATAATAGAACAGCTGGTTAACACGCAGTTCAAATGGAAAGGGTGCCGAAGAAAAAGAGACTGCCGACAATAGTCACACTCACCTGAGAAGTTTGGAGCGTTGTAAAAACATGTTCAACCCGTTTTGATCAATTCTGTCGATTGGAATTGGTAGAACAGCAAGCAGCAGATAAATGTCAACAAACAAACCTGTCATGTATGTGTGTGACGCTGAGAAATCGCTAATAGAAGTTCGGACGCTGCTTACCCGAATAGAAATTTACATTAGCCCAACGTTTGATTTTGATGTCTACATCAGCATCGAAATCAAATGTATGCCTGATGTCAAACATTAGAAAACATTATGATTTAGTTGTATTTAAGCAACGTAACATGGTGTATACATCAGAAATTTTGGAACAAAATTTTGCCATTCTAATGTCGGTCTGACGTCAAAAATTTCAATCTCTTGACATTAGAACCAAACGTTTTAAGGATGTTTTCTGATGTACATTACGTTAGAACTAAACGTTGTTCGGATGTTTTTATATGTAAACGTTTTCTGATGTTTTCTAATGTAGATGTTTCCCGATGTTAGAACCAAACGTTTTCGGATGTTCTCGGATGTAAAAAACGTTAGAACTAAACGTTGTTTAAATGTTTTTATATGTAAATGTTTTCTGATGTTTTTTAATGTAGAAGTTTCCTGATGTTAGAACCAAACGTTTTTGGATGTTTTCGGATGTAAAAAACGTTAGAACTAAACGTTGTTCGGATGTTTTCAATTGTACTTCCTGTTTGTTGTTCTCTGATGTTTTCAGATGTACAAAACGTTTAAAGTAAACGTTGTTTGAATGTTTTAAAATGTAGATGTTTACTTATGTTTTAAGAAGTACAAACACTAGAATCTTACTTTTCAAATGCTTTCAATTATATTTACAACACATTAGAATTAGTAACATAATCGTGTAAACACTACACACCATTGTTGTTAGATAACATCATAAAAATGCGTACATAACTGTCAATGCTGAAGCTCCCGTTTCCCACCAGTCAGTTAACTGACCTTAGCTAACCTAATGTCATTGCGGCAACTCTCTATGCGGCAGGGGAACTATGCCATTAGCGCGCTAAGAGTTATTAGACCACTGACATAGGCGCCAATTTGTAGGTGACGAGGCACTTGGTGACATTACAGCGAGCTTGACGATTGTTGCAGCATTTTTTAATCAAACTAACAGTTAAGGTGTGTAGTGTTTACAAGATCATGTTTCTAGCACTAATGCTTTGTACAATTGAAAGCATTGGAAAAGTTAATTCTCATGTTTTGCACAATCAGAAAACATAAAATTGTACAAAAAAAATCATCCATTCTGGTAGACTATCTCTTAAATGCATACAGAATAGTCATTGCGTAAGCTCCCGTTTCCCACCAGTCAGTTAACTGACCTTAGCTAACCTAATGTCATTGTGGCAACTCTCTATGCGGCAGGGGAACTATGCCATTAGCGCGCTAAGAGTTATTAGACCACTGACTTAGGCGCCAATTTGTAGGTGACGAGGCACTAGGTGACGTTACA